ACATTCACTTCTGGACTTCACCATTTCCGAGTACCATGACCTGGGCAAATTATCCTAATTTGAGTCTCAATTGTCTCAACTATAAAATGGTAATTAACACCAATCATACCACCACCTCACAGAACCACTGTGAAGATTAAGTGAGATAATCAATATAGTTTCTATCATTAGTAAATTTTATTTCAAATGTCTCCTTTTAGCAAAAATATTGACCAGATAGATGGGCAGCCCAGCCCAGTGGTTCAGCAGTTTAGCACCGCCTTCAGCCCAGGGCCTGATCCTGGAGTCCCGGGATCGAGTCCCAGGTCAGGCTCCCGGCACGGAGCCTGCTTCTCCCTCTGCCTGTATATCTATCTCTATCTCTATCTCTCATAAATAAAATCTTAAAAAAAAAAAAAAAAAAGAAAAAGAAATATTGACCAGATAGGGGACTTGAGTTATAACCCTAGAAAAATCATTATGGGACAGCCACTTTCATTCTCACCCAAACAAAACTACAAAAATGCAACTACAAAAGCTACAAATTCTATCTTGGAAATGAAGTCCCAATTTTCAAACTGAAACACATATCTTTAGGGTTATGCAAAAATATGCAAGCAAGGCAATCAATTTCCACACTTTCATAAACCTGATCAGCCCACATAACTGGATTATCAATCAAAGATTTTCAATCCTAGTATGTATTACTCTAGGACAGGAGTCTGAAAACTATAGCCCATGGGCCAAATAGGGCCCACTACCAATCAAGTTTTATTCGAACACACCCCACTTAGGGTGCCTCAGTGGCTCAGTCAGGTGAGCCTCAGATTCTTGATTTTGGCTGGGGTCCTGAGAACCAGCCTAGAGCACAGCGTGAAGTTCACCTGAGATTCTCTCTCCCTCTCCCTCCCACTCGTGCACTCTTGTTCTCTAAAATAGAGAAGTCTTAAAAGAAAAAGTATGAAATAGACAAATCCCCCAGAATAATACAAATTACTGAAAAATAGAAAATCTGGATAGACCTCTATCAAGTAAAGAAAACTGAATTCGAGGGGTGCCTGGATGGCTCAGTGAGTAGAGCATGTGACACTCTTGATCTTGAGGTCCTCAGCTCAAGCCCTATGCTGGGTGTAGAGATTATAAATAAACAAACTTAAAAAAAAAAACAGCAGGGCACCTAGGTGGCTCTTCGTTTAAGCTTCTAGCTCTTGATTTCGGCTCAAGTCATGATCTCAAGCTCAGGGCCCATTCTGACTCTGTGCCCTGCGAGGAGTCTGTTTGAGATTCTCCCTCCCGGGATCCCTGGGTGGCGCAGCGGTTTGGCGCCTGCCTTTGGCCCAGGGCGCGATCCTGGAGACCCCGGATCGAATCCCACGTCGGGCTCCCAGTGCATGGAGCCTGCTTCTCCCTCTGCCTGTGTCTCTGCCTCTCTCTCTCTCTCTGTGACTATCATAAATAAATAAAAATTAAAAAAAAATATGATTTAAAAAAAAAAAAAAAAAAAAAGAGATTCTCCCTCCCTCTCGCTTTGCCCCTCTCCCTATACCTGCATGCTCTCTCAAATAAATGAATCTAAAATTAAGAAACTGAATTAGTAACTTAAAATATTCCCACAGGGCAGCCCCAGTGGCACAGCGGTGGCACTGCCTGCAGCCTGCAGCCTGGGGTGTGATCCTGGAGATCCAGGATCGAGTCCCACATCAGGCTCCTTGCATGGAGCCTGCTTCACCCTCTGTGTCTCTGCCTCTCTGTCTCTCATGAATAAATAAATATTTAAAAATAAAATAAAATAAAATATTTCCACAAAAAAAAAGCCTAGACCCAGAAGACTTCACTGGTAAATTCTATCAAATACAGAGAAATGAAAAATGCTATACAAACTCAGAAAACAGAGAAAGCAGCATTTCCAGCTCATTTTATGAGGATATTATCGCTGTTACTAAAGCCAAAAACATCATAAGAAAACTTCAGTATCCCTCATGAACAGACACGAAAATCCTTAACAAAGTATTAGCAAACTAAATTCAGCAACATGGATTAATATACACACCATTACTAAGGGGGGGGGGCTCATTCCAAAATACAAGATTGGTTTAACATAATACACCACTTATACATACCCTAAAGGGTTTTTTTAATATAAAAAAAAGCTAGGGATCCCTGGGTGGCGCACCGGTTTGGCGCCTGCCTTTGGCCCAGGGCGCGATCCTGGAGACCCAGGATCGAATCCCACGTCGGGCTCCCGGTGCATGGAGCCTGCTTCTCTCTCTGCCTGTGTCTCTGCCTCTCTCTCTCTCTGTGACTATCATAAATAAAATAAAAATTTAAAAAAAAAATTAAAAAAAAAAGCTAGAGGCACTTCAGTAGCCCAGTTAAGTGTCTGCTTTTGGCTCAAATCATGATCTCAGGGTCCTGGGATCAAGTCCCACATCAGGCTCCCTACTCAGCAGGGGAGTCTGCTTCTCCCTCTCCCCACCCCCACTCGTGCTTTCTCTTTCTCTCAAATTTTTTTTATATTTTTAAAAAATATATTTTAAAATCAGGGGGCACCTAGCTGGCTCAGTCAGTGGAGCACCTGGCTCTTGATCTTGGAGCTGTAAGTTCCAGCCCCACACTGGGTATGGAGCCAACTTAAATAAATAAAATTGTGTGATTTAGGGGCGCCTGGGTGGCTCGCCGGCTAAGTGTCTGCCTTCATCTCAGGTCACGATCCCATGGTCCTGGGATCCAGTCCCACATCGGGCTCCCTGCTTAGTAGGAAGCCTGCTTCTCACTCTGCTTCTGCAACTCCTCCTGCTTGTACTCTTTCAAATAAATATTTTTTTTAAAAAAAGTGTATTTAGAAAACTTTGTATTTATTTTTTAAAGTCAATATTTACTTGTCAAAAATTTTTGAGACCTGAGTGACAAGGGAAAAAGAACCATTCATGTCAAAGCAACTCCACTGTATCTTTGGACAGCCAATAAAAAAAATCACTTTTGAAAATTTAACAAATCCAACTCCTCTTAAATTCTATCCCAAAATTAATTTACTTCTGTAGAGTGCCCAGACATAAAGCTAATACTCCAGGATGGAGCCAGCCAGTGTTAGGGTCAACCTTCCTTTCTTCTACATTCTCCTAAAGCAATCTACTACCACAGGTACTAGATTTTCAATTTTTTTTTTTTTTTTTTTTTTTATCCATGAGACACACATGAGACACATGAGAGAGAGAAGCAGGCTCCATGCAGGGAGCCCGACGTGGGATTCGATCCTGGGTCTCCAGGATCACGCCCTGGGCTGAAGGCGGCACCAAACCCCTGAGCCACCCGGGCTGCCGGATTCTCAATTCTCAAAGCCTAACCACATCACTGATTCCGACGACTGAGACTCCACTTGAACCCCTTCTAAATCACATCTCTACCTTCATTAACTTATATAATTACATTTTTTTAACTGGAATTTCTGACATGTATATATGACCCTTGCATTTCATTAAACTGCACTAGGCAAATCTTGAGATTAACCAGATTCTCTCTTCACTTCATAAAGGCAACAAATCTGGTAAGCACACCTTCCAGATAGGCTGTAAATACTGTATATAAAGAAAAGGGACACAGACTCAACTCAGCAGAATCCCAACTGCAAGTTGTACCCATAAATCAAACCCCTCCAGACATCGGTGCTCAAAACCATGATTCCATCTAATTTTACCACAATCTGGCAAAATCCCCTAACTCACCCACCAGGTCATCATAAAAGACTTTAACAGATGCCTTACTAAAATTCTGACACACTATCATTCTATTCCTTTGAGATATCAGTTTGAATGTCCTCTTCTGGCAGAATTTATAATAATAGCAACCCTGCTACTCTGGCTATTAAGAACAGAAAAAGGGATCCCTGGGTGGCGCAGCGGTTTGGCGCCTGCCTTTGGCCCAGGGCGCGATCCTGGAGATCCGGGATCGAATCCCACGTCAGGCTCCCTACATGGAGCCTGCTTCTCCCTCTGCCTGTGTCTCTGCCTCTGTCTTTCTCTATGTGACTATCATGAATAAATTAAAAAAAAAAAAAAGCTCCTCCAGCTTAGTTCTCTCCAAAGATAGGGCTTTAAAAAAAAAAAAAAAAGAACAGAAAAATGACACATTTTCTACTTTGCATTAATTACAGCACCTCAGGAATCACAAGTACTTTTTTTTTTTTTTTTTTTTTTAGATTTTACTTATTTATTCATGATAGAGAGAGACAGAGGCAGACACAGACAGAGGGAGAAGCAGGCTCCATGCAGGAAGCCCGAGGCAGAACTGGATTCCGGAACCCCAAGATCAGGCCCTGGGCCAAAGGCAGGCGCTAAACTGCTGAGCCACCCAGGGATCCCCCCCACAAACATTTTGAACATTTTTCAGTCCTTTGTTTTTTACACTACAGTTCTTTAGCGGTCAGACACATTAGCAGTCAATTTGGTGAGTTACAATCAACTTTTTCTGTTTTAATGAAACAGAAAATGTCAAACGGCATCCTATGCAGAAAGGGTAAACCTTTGGGAGGGGTGTGTGTGTGTACCCTGTGCATGCTGGGAGCACATTAAGTCATAATGTAATATTGTATCCAGCTGTTGGTCCCGGGTCAAAAAAAGTTTAAAACACACTTTGCTAGTCCCACAGCCCTATCCAAAAAAACAAAACAAAACAAAAACTTAGTAGTCACAAAGTTCATTATTTGTAACCATCTTCCTTCCGTACAGAAAGACAAACAGGAATTTTGAATTGAGTACATCTAATTTGCCATTCATCAATCAATCAATCAAGCCTGGGTTGAACCGCTCAGCGGTTGAACGTCTGCCTTTGGCTCAGGGCTGACCCTGGGGTCCTGCGATCGAGTCCCACGTCAGTCTCCTCTCAGGGAGCCTGCTTCTCCCTCTGCCTGTGTCTCTGCCCCTCTGTGTATGTGTCTTTCATGAACAAATAAAATCTTTCAAAAAACAATTAAAAAAAAAAAAAAAGACTAGAATCCACCTGAGGTTTCCAGGTGCAATACTAACCTGCTCAGAGGCAATTCTGTTCTGATGGAAGTTAAGACGTGTATACGGCAGCAGACCCGCAATCGGTTTAGTCTGTGGAGAGGAGAGAGAACAAAACCCATTGATTCCTCAAACGTTGCAGGAGAGGGCTGCGGGGACTCCTCCCGGGTCTGGAATTGGGAGAGATTCATTGAAAACAGAATGGCCAAGCGCTGTGCCCCGCCTTGCACAAGCCATTCGACGAGCCGGTTACTACTGATAAAATTCACTCGGTTCCACACAAACAGCGCCTGCACCTGGAAAGAATCACGAAGCCGCGAACCTGGCCGGTGTCACCAAGTTCTCAGCCGCCCTTGCGCCTGAGACCCCCCAACACACCTCCGCCCGCAGGGGCTTCGGCTCAGGGACGTGGCACCGGCGCGCGCCGCTCCGAGCCACCGCGCTCCATTGTGCAGGGCGACACCCGGCAAGGAGCAAAGAGTGGGCGAGCTGCCGAGGCCGTGCCCGGGCGAAGCCGAGGGCCCCCGGGCTCACGGTCCTGCTGCCCTCGACCTTCCCCCCCCAACCCCCGCCCGCCGAGGCAGCGCCCCGCACCCGGCCCCCAGCCCGCGCGCGCCTCCAGGCACCTCTACGAGGCCTGGAACTGCGAAGCCAAAAAGCAAAGCCGCCCGGCAGCCCCGGAAGCCCCCTACCGCCAGCGCCCGCCGCCCCGCCGCCCCCTCGCGCCCCCCTCCACGCCGTCCGAGCGCCGCCTCCGCACGCCGCGCCCAGCGGGGCCCGCCACGCACCCGCCAACACCCGGAGGCTCGACGGGCTCCTCCACACCCACCCCCGCAGCCGCGGCCGGAAGCGCCCCGCGTCTCCACGCCGCCGTCGTGAGGTCACTTCCGGCGCGACGCCTTGGAACCCCGAGGGCCGGCGGCGCGGGGCGGAGCTCCCGGGATCAACCTCCTGGGCGCGCCCTCCCGCCCGCGGGCACGGGGCTCTCCGCCGGTTCCCGCCCTCCCCCCAGGGGCCTGTCGCCGAGGAGACTGGAGGACTTCGGGGCGGAGGTGGCGCCTGGCGACGTGGGCCTCGTCGACTCCGGCAGCCGCGGCTGTGGACGCAAGGAGTCGGTCCCGCGACGGATTAAAGGAAACGGGTTCCCTTCGCGGTTACCCGTCCGCGCGCGTGGGCTCCGGCGCGTTGGGGCTCAGCGTTGGCCGGACGCCCCCGCTCCCGGGGCGCGGGGGGACGCCGTTCCCCGGGGCCTCTGAGAGCGGCGTCCTGGGGAATTGGAGACCTGGAGGGCTTGCGAGGTCATCACCGGAAAGCCCGAGACCCGGCTTGGGAATCCCTGCGCGGGCAGCAGGGCGGTTACGAACGTGGCTCTGCGAAGTAAGGGGAGGAGTTCTGTAAAATCTCCTTCTGCCGGGACTCCCCATCCTTCCCATATCGAGAGAGATCCAGTTTTAAGTCTGGAGGGACCCCGTCCTGTATTTTTTTTAGATTTATCATTCATTCATTCATTCATTCATTCATGGGACACACAGGCAAAGACACAGGCAGGGGGAGGAGCAGGCTCCATGCAGGGAGCCCGATGCGGGATTCGATTCTGGGTCACCAGGATCACCGGCCTGTATTATCTTAAAGGTTCTTTACAGTCAATCCTTTACACCCTCCAGATCCGGGAGCCCTTAGGGTGTGAAGCTCAGGGTTGAATCCTAACTCTACCTTCTGTTTTTCAGAACAGCTGTGCGGCTTGAGATGAACCGGAGATAGCTAAAAAAAAAAAAAAAAAAAAAAAAAAAACTGCTGTGAAATGTGCACCTGAACCTGATTGGCATTCCTAAAGGGGTGATTAATTCTCTTGTGCCTTTTCTTTCTTTCTTTTTTTTTTTTTTTTTTTTTGGTTAGGATTCTATATTCCAGGCCAAATGACTTTTTTTTTTTTTTTTTTTTTTTAAGATTCACAGGAGAATTAGTTGTAGAGGCCACTTTTAGGCAACAGGCATAAGCACTTGGAAACCTGAGTCGGGCAGAGGTGCCCACAGTGACCAGGGGACTGAATGCAAACAGACTCATTAGGCGACCCACCTAAAAATAGCCATAGACCTGAGCTGAGGAATGGGCTACCTGCAACCGGGCACAGGTACCCAAACACGAAAATTCCATGTTCCCATCCCTCCTCACCACCTCCTAAACTACAGCCCAACACTGCCTCCTGACAGTCTCTCCTTTGCTCTCCTGACCAGCTAACTGGAAATTCAATAAACTTCTATCACCTTTGTTCTGCCTCAGGTGAATTCTTTTACCTCTGATGCCACCAGCCTCCACCCAATCTGGACACACCCACATCTGTCTTCTCTACCGCAAGCACTGCTATAGCCCAGAAGTCAACTGAAGATTATACCTAACCGTAATCCCACCATCTTGCACAGTGCCTGCCAAGAGTAGATGCTAAAATGTGTGTCTGTTGAATGAAAGAACTGTCCCTAAGACCACCCCAACAGACTTTGCCCAGAGTTCAAACTGGGAGGCTTTTAGTAAGATCGGAAGCCCCACTTGGTCAGCCATTAAACTTTGGAAAAGAGATCAACTGCCCTAATTCCACTATTGAATTGTTCTGCTTAGCAAATACAGTGTATTGTTTTTGTATTGAACTTTGGCTTCATGGAGGGATCAGTCGCCCCATTTTTTTTAATGCTTTTAAGCGTTACTGAGTTGCTCATTTGGCCTAACTGGTGTGGCAGAGACATTCAGAATTCTAAAGGGTAACATTGTTTTCTCTAAACCATGTCTTCATTCTTCTTTCTCTACTGCTGGTTATCTGAGAGCCACAAAGATTCTCTCTGAGAAGAGTATTTATTGTTTCTCTTCCTGACCTGAGCACAGAAAAGTTGCTTTCATTAAGTTCTTTCAGAAACCACAATCCAGGGGCATGGAGCAAAGGTTGTTGAAGATACACATTTAAAAAAAAAAAAAAAAAGATACACATTCTAGGTCTCACAAAGAGTCTAATTCAGTTAAGTCTGGGGTAGCATCTGGGAGTCTGCATTTTAACAAGCTCCTCAGGGGGTCCTGATGCTGGTGGCTAGAAGATTATACTTCTGGAGCCACATAAGCCTCTGCTTAGCAGATAAAAGAGCCTTCTAGCACCACCATTCCCTCCTCCACCCTCCCACTACCACCCTAAACCTAAATTACGCAGAAATTGACAAGGTTTACTCCTCCGAAATGGACTTGAAAGAAAACTGGTGGAAGTGAGCCCAAATGACAAATGATGAGAAGCCATAATAAGGCACTAGCAAGTGGGGCTGATGAAGTGAGGACAGAAAAATCCTAAAGATGTTTAGGAGATAAATCAACTGCCAGATTTATGACTAAAGCAAAAGATTGGCAGTGCTGTTTGCTTAGATGTGGAATAGAAAAGGATGAAGAGGTTGTGAGTAGACAGTAAAGGAAGAAAGGGAAAAGGTAAATGATAAATTCAGATCTGTGAATGAGTTTAAGTTAAGTTCCTTACACTTGGGAAATTGGGGGCCTTGCCCTAGACCTCATGCTTTAGATGGCCCTCACCCTGGAACTATTTTATTTTTTTTTTAATTTTTTTTTTTATTTATTTATGATAGTCACACAGAATGAGAGAGAGAGGCAAAGACATAGGCAGAGGGAGAAGCAGGCTCCATGCACCGGGAACCTGACGTGGGATTCGATCCCGGGTCTCCAGGATCGCGCCCTGGGCCAAAGGCAGGCGCCAAACCGCTGCGCCACCCAGGGATCCCCTATTTTATTTTTTTTAAGATTTTATTTATTCATGTAAGACACAGAGAAAGACATAGGAGGAGAAGCAGGCTCCCCATGGGGAGCCTGATGAGGGACTCTATCCCAGCACCCCGGGATCACCACCTGAGCCCAAGGCAGACACTCAACCACTGAGCCACCCAAGTGCCCCTCCCTGGAACTCTTTTTTTTTTTTTTTCCCCCCTGGAACTCTTTAAACAAAGCCTTTCTTTGTGACTAAAGGGAGGTGACTACCCAGAGCTCATGCCCCCACTTTCAGACCTGCTATATTTCACATTTCTGGGATTCCCAAATCCCCTCCCAAATGGCCTGAGTCCACTTCAGGCCCACAGATACACCTCTTGTACAGGTCATCCTGATGGTGGACCTCACTACCATTGTGCAATACCCCTAAGCCCAAGGAGCAGCCAAAAAAGTGGCTGTTTGAGAGGAGTGTGAATACTCTTGCCCTGGCTGTTCACTTGTTAGGAACATACGTGCTGTGGGGTATCTGGTGGGAAATTGGAAATGTGAATCTGGAGCTCAGGAGAGAGAGATGAGATTTGGAAGTCATCCATAACCAAGGAAGTACTTAAAGTCCCAATAATGGATGATACAGTCCAGGGATGCCATACAGCATGGGAATAGTTAAAGGCCAAGGACAGAACTCCAAGGGCCAACATTTAAGGGATTCTCATAGGAAGAGAATGATTCAAAGGAAATTGAGAAACCACGACTAGGAATACAGAAGAAATCTCAGAGGTGGGTAATGCCAAAGAGATACTTTTAAGAGAAAAATAATCAGAGAAGACCTAGAATGTCCATTTGATTTAGTAACTAGGAGGTCCCTCGTGGTTTTGACAGGGGCTTTATAGGGGAATGAAGGAGCCAGAAGTCAAATGTCAGTGGGCAAGGAGAGAGTTGGAGATGAGAAAGTGGAAACAGTTAAGTGCGGACAATTTCAAGAAGTTTGACTATGAGAGTGAGAAGTGAGACACAGTAATAGAGGCAGCTGAAGATAATCATTCAGAAGCAGAATTTACTATTCACCAAATGCTCTTGAAGCCTTCCTAAGTTCCCAAGTCCTAGAACTCCACCAAGTACTGCTGGTTATAGATAGTTATCTGAACTAAGTGGACCCTACTGACCACTAGAGTCAAATTTCTGGGAGCCATTGTAGATTAAGCCAGTGGGCAGCACCTACTTGCCTCTCCCAACATATGGAAGGGGGGATTTGTTTTACCAAGACTTACTTCTGCCTTACTGTGCTGTGGGCCACACTAACAGTCTCTAACAAGGACATCAACTATCAGAGAATGAACTCTTAGGTTGAGAAGAGCAAAGCACTAATCTGCAGTTCTTGACAGGGTATGTCATGGAGATCTAGAATGGTAAAGCTGAAAGGAACCTTAGAAATTATCTACTTTATGACTACCACCACCCTTGCTTAAGTAATTGTTTTTTCTAAGTTTAAAAAAATAAAAAACGTTTTTATTTTTTTTAATTTTCTTTTTTTACTTACTTTTTTTATTTATTTATGATAGTCACACAGAGAGAGAGGCAGAGACATAAGCAGAGGGAGAAGCAGGCTCCATGCACCGGGAGCCCGACTTGGGATTCGATCCCTGGTCTCCAGGATCGCGCCCTGGGCCAAAGCCAGGGGCTAAACCGCTGCGCCACCCAGGGATCCCTAGAATCACTGTTTTGCACCAAAAGATGTCTCAAGAATTCTTTCTTGGCCATTGGCTCCGA